CCAGTGGAAATTCGGGGTTTCCAAAATGACTAAACATTTTCCCAAACTGCTCGTGAACACAACTCCACGGTTGAATACATCCCACAAACACTGGGAACAGAGCTCTGCTGTGTTTCGCTCCCCTCGCCACATTCAGCAGCTCAGCGCTCTAAACTGACTCCAGACCTGTAATTTGGCTCCAGATGTGGATCTTCACACTGCAGACCAAGAAACAAGAACTCACCCTGTCACGAGCGAGCGCGGTGAGGTGGGTAATTTTAGCTTTCAGGAAACATTTCCCAGAGTTCATCCTGAGCCTGACAACAAGCACAGAGTTTGTCCGCAGCAGGTGGCCTCTGGCCTTTAACCTCTACAGGTGATCCAGTAAAAAGAGGCATTTTCTAATTGAAGAAGTGGCTAAAGAGTAGTTTTCCATTGGAACACACTCATTGTGTCCCAAACTGATTTGTTTAACAGAAAAACAAACATTCTTAAGTCAATTAGTATGTGAACAACACGTTTTAAGCTGACAGTACCATAAAAAGGCTTATATATTAGCAATGTCCCTTTTCTAAGTACACACGTTGTTGTTTCCCCTCTACTTTCATCCATCTGTTTGCAGAGCACAACATTTTTATTACATGACAAAGTTTCTGCTCATAAAAGGAAACTTTGATTACAAGAACTGAAAAGAACGACACTAAAGACGTGAGACGGTTGCCAAAAAAGCACTGGTGGTATGCTGTATCCTGTGACCCGTCCGATTCTGTGACCTGATTACAGACCTAAATGGTCTTGTGTACCTTGAACACAACCTGAACTCCCTTTCTGGAGGGAAACTGACCTTAAGACTGAACATAAACACTAAAAGCCAGATCAGGGGTCACAACATGACAATGTAACCAGTAACACCAGTTCAAATCCCCCACAGATGTTTCAAGTCTCCTAAATCCCCACTGATTTTATTTTTTTTTCATAATCCTGTTTTCATTTTAAACTATGAAGCCAAAAATCTTCAAATAGCATTATTTGTTCCCATTCATCATGTTAGATTGTAAAAATGCCTGAAATATATAGTAGATTAATTATTTACAGCTCAATCAGTCCTCCAGGGAGGTGGTTGATCTGGCACCTTTAGCTGATTTATGAGCATTTTACATTTTAATTCATAGTAATCTCGCTCCTGTGGTCTTACATGAAGTCATCTTGAATGTGGATCTGATTTGAGACAATTAATAATTGAAAAAAGAGGACTTACCACCGACATGCAGCTGAAGAACTGGGATCAGAAACCAGTTGCAGCTCTCTGAAAGCGTTTCTCTGCCTCCTTCTCTCTCTGGGGTGTGGCTCCAACCAGGAAATCCATCCTACTTCGTTTTTTTTCACCAAACAACTTCATTTTTTCTCCCTTTCTCCCCTCCCTACCCTCCCGCCTTGTGCATGCTTTCAGCTAAACAGCGCCCCTTGCTGGAGAACACATCACACAGCAATAACTAGTGAATAATCCTGTTTTTGTCTCTTGAATACGAAAAATATGAAACGTTTTCAGTAAAATGCTTTATGGTGATCAAAACGCTTTTTTGTGGTAATTCTTGCACCCTTAAAGAGAAAAAAAATCGTAAATTTGAAAAGAAAATGCACAAACGATATTTTTCCTGATGGTGTGAAAATCTGTTAAAAATTAAAATCTGTATTATTTATTTTAAACAAACCATGTTAGACTTCTGTGTTTGTGTGGCAAATTGGGTACTTGTCACCCAAACAGACATACCGGAAGACGTGAATCCTTTCAGAATAAAGTCCAAAATTTTGTCTAAACAGTTCTAAATGCAGGATAATTACATTATAATCACACTTTTTTAAATATTAACATTAAATCTTCAACTATATAATGTTCTATTATCTATCTATCTATCGAATCTTATAAATTTCCAATTTAGAATAAAATAGAAAATACCTTTATCTCACAAAAGAGAAACTGAAGTATTATACAGCTCCTATAGTAACATAAAACACAATAACTACATATACATAGCAATCAAACAAATTTTGTACAGAAAATTTATAAAAATGTTCAGTGATATGTACCCAGGTGTGTAAATGATCCTAGAGAAGTAAACACTGTACAACCAAGCTGCAAATGAGTAACAGCAATTTACCAGATTATATATATAAATGTGTGTGTGTGTGTGTGTGTGTGTGTGTGTGTGTGTGTGTGTGTGTGTGTGTGTGTGTGTGTGTGTGTGTGTGTGTGTGTGTGTAAATAACTAATACCAAACCCGAAGTAAAACTACGTTTTTTATTATTCCCTATTAAAATCTTAAAACCTAATGAGATAATGTCTGCTTACTTCAATTAAGAGTTGTATTTCATATTTTCAGACTAATTTTAAAAGAACGGTCATTTGATCCCTAGCTTTTGAACAGCTTTGAATTTTATTTTGAAGTACCTAACAGGAAGTGTGTAAAACGCTTTGATTTTGACGCACTGAACTCCTAGAATCTGCGGCACAATATCAGAATCAGCACCTGAACCACCGACAAAGACCGCATAAGGAAAAAATAAAATACAGGATTCAGATTAATTTCCAACCGGATACAGTCTGGTAAAGTATTCACTCTTCTTCGCTGGTTAATCTGTAATAAGGGCCTATTTCGTTATTGTTTGAAGACGGAACTTGCATGTGGATTGCATAAATGATAGTTACACATTTTAAATATTTATACATCTTTAATGGCCTACTGATTACATTCACCCATTCATCGTGTAATTTGCTGTTCTCCGGCCGACGCCCTCAACGGGACTGATGCTCCGCTGCGACTGCACCACAGATGCTGACAGGACCATTAAATCTTTTTATTTATTTATCACCATTCTTGCTGGTGTGTTTGATGGATCGGAACCGGGCCGAGGCCTCATTTCCCAGAATAAAATTAATCTAAATAGAGCTCGGTGGGAGCTCTATTTTGGTCTAGTGAGACAAGATGACCCGGTTTCTGTTTCACCGTCCAGATTAATCCGCCTCAATCTGACATAAATGGCTGATGCTGGACTAGGCTGAGATCCAGAACCACACCCGGTGACCCTCTCTATCCATCAGCTGGTTTACTATTTATATTTTATTGAGTAAATTGTCTTATATAACTCATGTAGCGTGCTTATTTACTGAAAATCCTAATTACTAAGTTGTTCCACCAGTCTGTTGGTGCTGTATTTGAACCGCTCCAGTTTCCTAAATTTCATGGCAGTTCATGCAAACGTTAAACAAACCATTACACTGTCGTTGCTACAACATTATTTCACCACCATTTAATTCTATAGTTGTGGATCTGATTAATATGTATAACATAACCAGCAGTAATGTTGCATTCTCGGTGCACTATAGGGTGAAATCCTGCAGAGATGTCTTTATATCTCTGCTGAAATAACAATTATTGCAGGTTGTGATATTTACACTGTAGAAAATAATGTCTGCATTAACCAGAATTTAAATTTAGGAGATTGGATGTTTTAAAATACCATTTTGTTTGGGCTGCATGACTATGGTAGACATCAATGGGTTAGGGTTTTTTTTTTATCCAGAAACACACTTAAGATTTTAAAAAAAATATCTCAATCCAAGTTAAAGAACCCATGCCACACTAAAAATCATGTTAAATAAAAGTACAATGTAGAGCTATAAGATAACAGAGGCTGTGTCATTTCTTTTGGATGAAGCTCATCAAACAGTATCCAGATCAGATTATTCTGAATTTTTATATTTTACTTTTTAAAACAAGTTGCAGACACAATGGAGAAATCCAGCAGCATGTACGACTCCTTCCTCTTCTGGAGGCAGCCAATCCCAGCTCTGGATCTGTCCGAGCTGGAAGACCTGGGACTGACCGACTCCATGAGAAGCAGCAAAACAAACAAGATGTGGAGTCAGGATGACAAGGTTGTGCTTTTGAACTTTCTGAATCCTAAATGAACATATGCATTTTTTTTTTGCGCTCCTGTATAAAACATTATCTCCACTCCTGCAGCAGGAGCTGTCAGAGTTCTCCTCCTTCAACTACTGGAGAGCTCCCATCGCTGACGTGGACTCTCTACTGGCTGACCTCAACCTGCTGCTCTAAAGCCATCACAATCTGACCCCAGATCAAACCTGCATCATCTGATTCAGCCTAACATCAGTAGATCTGTGACCCGTATTTAAATGTCCTGTTTAAACCAACAAGCTAGTACATTTTTTATTAATATGGAGTTGACATAAATTGGGCCTGTTGATCTATTAGTCTTCTTAAATGTATTAATCTGAATTAAGAAGATATTCAAAATATTGAAACAAACTGAAGGTCCGAATGAACTTAATAGAGTAATAGAAACACTACATCACTTATTACAGCCATTGATGATCAAATATGGTGCTTTGGGGTATAATTTATTTTAAAATCATTGATTCTTACCTTATGGTAAATTAATGCATGACACACTAACTGAGTTTTGGAGATTTGAACTTTGTTTTCTGCAGAATTAAAGCAAAAAGTGACCTTAAACTTCCTGGTTTATGTCCCTAAAGTTGGCTAAACATGACCCACATGTGAATTTTAATTTTCAGAATGTTTTTCTGAGTTTATATGTGTACAAGTTTTTTTGTGCCTTTTTGTTTTATTCAGAAATGTGTTTATTTTTTGAAAACTATTTCCTATTGATTTATCCTGTTTCGAGTGAGACTCAAATTTCAGAATAAACTGACACCTGCTCACAATTTAGGGACATGTGACTGCAATTATTTATTAAAAATTAAGAGGCAGAGTTCTTTATTACAAAAAAATTCATTTTCCTATGGAGAAATTTTTAAGCAGCTCAAGATAACCGTGATAGATAGCAGACAACAACAAATACGCCATTTCATCCCACTTGTCAGCATCTGTTCTGGCGATATAATACTATCTACGGTGACTCCGCTACCCACACTGACCTCAAGTCAGCTGTAATGTCACAATGTTAGAAAGCCCGCCCATAGGGAGGTTAACGCACATTCTGGCTTCCACCTCCGGTGTCGCGAGGCCGCCATATTTGTTCTAGAAAAATACAAAATTAAATAGGTTGTTTTTAGTTCTCCGCAGCTAAACGGCTGCATGTCAGAACACGGGTGACGACAGGAGGCGTACAGTTACAAGACTCAACAAGGCAAAAAGAGGTAAAACCTGAATTAATTTAGCTTACTAACTAAATTCATGCGCGCAGGCTAATAGCTAACGCAGCAGACTAGTAAATAACAGTAATAGAGTACGAACTTCCTTCCAAGACCTTCACAATAAAATACACAAGCTCCGCTTGCCAATATTACATTAGTTTTCTTCCACTTTATGGTTAAAATAATATAATTGGCCGTAAATTAATTTAGAATTAATTGTCCGCATCCATATGGATAATCAAGTATTCATTATTTTAATTTGTTGTTACAAGCCAAAATAAAGAATATATTCAAGTCACTCAGAGCACTGGTATTTCACGATCAACCAGTGCACCTATAATCTTTGAATCAATGCTTTTTACTTTACCTTATATTAAACACATCCATGCATTTGGGAGAACATATGACTTACGACTTATGAATCAAGTCTCTTATGTTGGAAGTCTGAATCCATGACTTCCGGAAAGGGAACGATAACCTCTCGCTAACTTTCCTAAAACGAACAAGCTCTGCCGAGATCGACAGATGTGGTTCCTAATGTCTAAGGTTTTGGGAAACCTTGAAATATATTCTGCACATCGTTCGTTTTTTCTTACGTGGTCCTGAACGATAAAAGCGCAATCGTCCTCCTAACAGGGGACTAGCTCTGTTTAGCTAGCTAGCTTGCTAACATTAGCAAAGCACATAGGAGCAGCTTTCCCGGCCCCGCACAAACCTACACACGGTAAGCAGTTTCTCATCCGTCATACACTAGCAAAAGAGCCGGATCTTCCACGCACATAATTACTCCAAGTAGTTAAAAGAACATTAAGTAGAGAAATCCTGTTTTACTACGAGTCGGTAAGCAGTTTGGCGATGCACGCTTGTACAATGCATCTAACCGGATGTGGAAGTAGTTTTTTCTCCGTGTGTAAAATAGGAAATTTCTGTGTGACTTCCCCCGGAAAGCCAACAACTTAATATCAAACAGTTTCCTGTCGGTGCTACAGTAAATTTATCGGTGGCAGATATTTGATGTTTACGCAGTCGATGCTAAAGATAGGCGCTTGGAGAGGGACCAGGGAGGTAACGTGGCACATGGCGGACTGTTTTCTGGTCGTGAAGGCGCGTAAAATGGCTCCTCGGTCAAAGAGAGAAAAACCTCGTCCTTCTACGCTATTTCACAACACTAACCCCTCAATGTAGCTTGGGTTCCTTTATCGGACACAGCGTTTTAAACACAGTCGAGATTAAAATTGAAATTTCCACATTTAAAACTAAACACCGTGCCATATTAAATACAGAAACTTTGAATAGTTTCCCTTTGTAGTTCTGATGTTGTATTTATGTATTCATTAAAAGTAAAAATACTAACGCGCAGAATGTCTGTGCGTACATAACTGGACATTAATCAATTGTTTTTGTTATTATTATCATCTAATCATCAGTAAAAACAGCAACAATCCTCACCACAGAAACATTTTGTGTTTGTTCAGATTTAGTTAAACAGCACAGGGGTGAGTGTGTCCGATAATAGACGCATGATAGTTAACTTCACAGACGAATGAATCCTGTGTAAAAGGGAAGTTTGGGGTTTTTCTGATGAATTTATGCAACAAAGTTTAAAAATAAAATGCTGCATAAACTCAGTATAAGTTAAAGGGTTAAAAGTTAACGTTTTGTTATTTGTCAGGTCAGGAGCTACAGATATGATTAAAACATGAATAATAGTCTGGAGTTTGCATAATTAAAGACAATAGGTTTGTATTTGGTTTATGGACCATTTCCTGTGCTGATGATAAGAATAATTAAACATGTATTCTTATTATTATTTATATTTGTTCCATAGACTCATGCCACAATAAAATCCACATTTGTGAAAGCATAAAACGTATTAATTGGGTCGATTGTGTGTTATCTACATGTTTTACTTTCTGCAAAAGTTTTATTACAATAGAAAAAACGTGCATTTACATGGGAAGCATGCAAAAGATGTTTGACTGAGTTGATTTTAAATTAACTATTTGATGATCAGATCTGATCACCTGTATGGATCTGTGTCAGATGTCACTGGTGGACCTGGGGAAGCGACTGCTGGATGCAGCCCGGAAAGGCAACGATGATGAGGTCAGAAACCTGATGGCCAATGGAGCTCCGTTCACGACTGACTGGGTAAGAAAACAGCTGACAGCATTAAATCTTTAAATTACCGAAAGAACGATGGCAGGTCTTTCAACACAGCCACAGTTTCTGTGTGAATTATCTTTTTTTTTTTGTGTTTTTGACAGTTGGGAACGTCTCCCCTCCACCTGGCTGCTCAGCACGGCCATTATTCCACTGCGGACGTCCTGCTGAGAGCCGGTGTCAGCAGAGACGCTCGCACCAAAGTGGACAGGACCCCACTGCATATGGCTGCTGCTGAGGGACACAATGTCATTGTAGAGCTGCTGATCAGGGTAGGATCTCTGGTTTTCTACAGATTAAAAAAACGATTAGGTCAGGAACAAACTTCAATCAGATAATTTTCAGAGAATTAGGTTAACTTAAAAAAATAAACTGCTTTCAGAGTGGAGCAGATATCAATGCCAAAGACATGCTGAAGATGACAGCTCTTCACTGGGCTGCACAGCACGGGCACCATGGTGTGGCTGAGACCCTCATCAAAAACGGGGCTGACGTGCACGCGCGCAGTAAATTCGACAAGACACCTTTTGACATCTCGGCAGACATCCAGAACACAGAGCTGATGGTGCTGCTGCAGGTGAGAGAAAACCTGGAATGCTAAAGATCTGTCCGTCAGACGCCTGCACTTGTGTAATATAGGGAGATATTAAAGGTGTGTGTGTGTGTGTGTGTGTGTGTGTGTGTGTGTGTGTGTGTGTGTGTGCGTGTGTGTGTAGGAGAGCATGCAGAACCAGGTCAACATGAACCAGGTGAGCATGAATGTGGAGACTAGCAGCACCACAAACCAGCCACAGTTCATCATCCAGGGAATACCCACCCTCCAGGGGGGGGTGGTGAACCTGGCGGAGCTGCTCAACAAGGCCAGTGCAGGTGGGAACACACACACACACATCACTTTGATAGTAAACTGAATCTTTTCTTAACTAATGAATGTTTTTGTCCCTAAGGAGAGTCGGAGGAAGCGATGGCTGCCAACGCTTTGGACTCCAACATCCAGCACGCCACCGTCGTTAACGAGAGTGGCCAGAGGGTTATCACCATAGTAACAGATCAACACGGCAACTTGCAGACCACCGGAGGGATGACGCAGCCGTTTTTTGTCACAATGCAGCACGGGCAGCAGAGTATGACACAGACGGCACCCAATCAGAGTTGGAGGGGTCGGCGGGTTGTTTTGCCTCTAAACACGTTTGTTTATTTTCAGTGCTGGCGGTGCCAGCCAACACGGTGACAGAGGAGGTGGTAACAGAGGAGCCTCCTCCATCCAGGAAGAGAAAGCTGGAGGTGACCAACAACCACAGTGACACGGGAGAGACGGTTAGCAGAACCTTTGGTCAAAAATGTAAAGAGTTGCACTGGTTAGCTGGCGTAAATGGAAATTGTCTTCCAGAAATACAGAAAAAAGCCAAAGAGATGGCTTCTAAAGTCTGGGTTTGTTATTACTACAGAAGTAATCTTGCTGTGAAAAATGAGGAAAAACAACATTTTTTTATGTTACTAATTCATTAGTGGACGTGTTTTGAATCTGAAACCAGTGGGATCTGGTGGTTTTCTCAGCTTTCCTAAACAGAGTGATAAAGTTTGATGTTTTTTTTGCTTTACTTCCAAGGATTTCACAGCCTCTAAAACAAAATCTCCCTTATTTCCTTCTTCTCCAGGAGTTGTTGCAGAGACAACTGCAGGAAGCCAACAGGAAGGCCCAGGAGTACCGACAGCAGCTGCTGCGTAAGGAGCAGGAAGCTGAGGAGTACCGCATAAAGCTGGAGGCCATGGCCCAAATTCAGGCCAACAGCAGCAACACCAACACCGCCGGCGGTGCCACCAACGCTGCGAGTCCTGAGGAGGTGGTGGGAGGAGAGGATGAGGAGGAGGGGGCTACTGGTGTGGTAGAAGAAGAGGGAGAAATGGTTGTGCTGCAGGAGGGGGGCATCATCATGGAAGGGGAGGAGGGTCAGGTGACGCTGGTGGAGACAGGAGGAGAGGCAACTCAGGTCAGCTCCTAACAGAGACCCAACAGGAGGAGACGGGGAGGGAGGGGGACGCTAATGAGAAAACACATCACAACAGGAGGTTGCTGATTAGACTCTTGAATCTGGCGGAGACGTGGGGGGAGGAGCCGACTCGTGGCAGGATTTGTGAACCATTTTGAATCCCCTCAGAGGTCTAACACCAACCAGAAAAAGAGGAAAATGGTAAACTTTCAGAGGAGGGCTAGACGTGGGTCAGCTCTGCACCGTTTTAAACGCATCAGGGAGATGTACGGACACTTCGTTGGACAACAGAACAGAAGAGTTGCCGTTTTGAGGGTGTGGGACACTGACTTGTTCGCTTGCTTTAGTTTTTGATGTATCGAATTGAATCAGAAACACTGTGGGGAGCTGGAGGACAATCCTCTTCACAGGGAAGCATCTCTGTCCTCCAAACGCCTCACGTCACGTTTCACTTCCCCGCTTAAAAGGGAGTGAAGGGTTGTAAAGAGAATCACCAAAACGGGACGTGTAGAATATGCAAGAAGTTAGCATTAACTTGTCTTATTTACATTTTCATGCCATTCATTAACCACCTCATCTTCATTCATAACTTTTATTTGCATGATGTTCAGTTATTACCTTGTTTCATTTAGTGAATCATCACAGCTTGTCTTACCAGCTTCATAAATGTTTATGTTGTTCGTTTTCACACAGTCTCCTTTAAACTAGGGCCACAGATGCCATAACATGGACATGTTTATTTTTCAGTATTTGGACACTAAAATAACTTCCAGTGAATGTTTCCAACCTGTTTTAAACTGTTTAATAGCATCTGATCCTTCAGTTTTCTTTTCAATGCCAAAGGTTTCCCAAATGCTTCTAATATGATCAAGCAGAAACCTCAGTAGTTGTTTTTAAAGAAGCTAAAGAAGTCTCCTAACCACCTTTCTACCCTGTTCCTCACCTAACAGGCCAACAAATGTCCAAAACTAACAATTCAACCCAGAATCCTGACTAGAGAACCAGAGCCACTCATTATAATGAAGCCATCCGTTTTCCCACTACTTAAACTGTCTTTTTGGAAGAAAACATCCAAAGATATCCAGTTTATTAAGGTAGAAAACGATGAAAGTGCAGCTAATTGACTATTTTTCTGCTGTGCGGCTTCTATAGTCGGCTATTATAAATGTTAAAAATCATTTAATAAAGTGGTCTAACATATCTTTAGTCCAGTGTTTTAATGAAGGTTTGTAAGAAAGCAGTGAGATATTGTTGAAGTGTTTTATTTCTAATAAATTCTTCGAGTTGTTTATGAAAAAAAGAGATCAGACATAATTTCTACCCAAAGCTTTCTGAAACCACATAAAGCCTTATTGCTGTGGAGAACAAGTCGGCAGTGTTTCATTGCTTTGTTGCATGTCAGATCGTAATTGTAGACAGTTGATGTTGCATCTTTGCCACTCTGCAAAATCTGAACAAAAAGCAGGAGCTTGTCAGTGTTTTGCACTTCCTCTCGTCTTGTGTGACACATCGTGTTTGCCGTTCCTCTGAAACGTTTGCAGCTGCATGTTTACAAATCTCAGTTGTGCAACAGAGCTGCAGAAAAATGCTGATTCAGACACACCTGCAAGAGTTTTAGCAGCTAGCTTGAAAATTGATGGAAATTACTGCAAACTATTTTCATCTAAAAAATATGAACTTTTGCTATGTTTGCTAGTTCAAACTTCCTCTGGGTTTGTGTTTGGGTAAATAATTGTACAAATAAATGAATGTAAACAGGGAAGCCTGTAGACCTGCTCATGTGACTTGAAAGAATTTTAAAGTTCTTCTGTGAGGTTGTTGGTCCAGTTCAGGTTTCTGCACAAGCTGTTAGCATTTTCACCTTTTTCTTTTGGCCACGTCACACCCTCATTCCTTAGTTTAACCTGAGATTTGGCATCATTTTGAGTTATTTTTATAAGCTCTGCAAAGCCAATTCTTTCCTATGTACATATAAAGTTGTATTTTTTTAACTTCACATAATTGCGTCTTGATGATTATGTTTTCCTGCATTTAAATATAAAACTTGTTTTTGTGACAAAAAAGTTGAGTGTGTTTGATGCGCTTTACATCATTCATGAGCTCAATATATTTCACATTGGTCATAAATTTATTTTATAAAATTTACATTTAGTTGTGAATTTATAAAAATCTACCCCTATCGTTCTTGTATTTGTTTCTTATGATCTGCATCTTTTGAGAAATATTTTAGGACATTTTGTGATATGGAAAGCAGCATTCACATTGTTATCAATTATTACTAAGATGAACAATATTAGAATCGGAATTATTTGGTTATTTTGTCAGAAATGCAATTTTAGTCTTAATTTAATAACCTATTTTCGTTAATGACTTATTAAATGACCAGAAGATTCATGAGTGTAAATATTTATTTTAAAGAACTTAATACAGGAACTGCATCTGACTACAACCCCCACTGTAGTCGGCTGGTCTTGTCCGATAAAGGATTAATGCCGATCAAATGTGATTGACAGGTCCTTCATCCAATCAGAAACGGCACAGATACGCTCTGCCAACGCCGTGTCTTGTGGGCGGGGCTGTAGTGGAGGGGGCAGGGCGCGAGGTATCATGGAGGATCAGTAGGCAACCTGCGGCCAACAGAGAAGGGCAGCCACAGCTCTGATCCCGGGGACTTTCGCAACTGTTCGTTGCTCGCTTCTGAACAACCACACGGTATATTCACCATGGACATGAAGAAGAGGATCACTTTAGAGCTGCGGAACCGGAGCCCTGCAGAGGTAAGCGACTTAAACTTTAATAACATGTTTATTGTTGCCTGAAATAGTCCGCGGTGAGCGGTCCAGAGCTTGCGCATCCTACGCCCCCTACGTTACTCATAATGACCCCCACACACTTGCTTCGCGGATACTTCTCTTTTAAACACCAAATATCAACCATTGTATTGTTTGAGCTTTTGCTCTGCACCTCGTAGCTACGGTTTCAGTTGTATGAGGGGCATCTCGCGGTTCACCGTCCGCCCGCCCCCCTTGCTCTCCGGTGAAATCCCCCTCTCTCTCGAGGTCCATATTATCCGCTGAAGTGCACAGGCATTAGCGTTACTAATCTGGGTCGTTCAGCATCGGTTCACCTGTAAGGGAAACGCCGCCGGGCTACTAAAGTTTAACTTTCATACTCGTTTTCCTCCCTGCTGCTCGCCTTTAACAGCGTGGCCGTTTGTATAAAGTCAAATAAAAACACGGAGGGAGAGACCGACTGCTTCCAGAAAACCACCGGGCTCCGCGTCAACGGCGCGGTTATGTGGACTCGTCCTTTCACGAGCGGACATTTTAAGTCTCGAGCGGTTTAAACTTCGACGTCAGTGTCGCATTTACGCGTTTCATCCGTCGTGTAAAGACCACTTTCGCGGTTTCCAGACAAATTCACAACGAAATTAGTTAAAATGTCTGGTCTTTAGTGGAGGTTTCGGTTCGACCCAGCTCGGCTGCGTGCAGAGGTCGGTCACACACCGACCGATGCTGTAACGCGTTACCGATATACCGTTACAGAAAGCTGATTATCCTGTCGAATTGACTAATTTCGTCAGATAAAGGCATAACTATCAAATTGGAAACGTTTAGGGTTAATTGTAAAAGCTACGACACACTGCCGACCGTCGCTGTTGCGTTATTGCTTCGCAGGGGACGAGGATTCGGTGCTCGGAGAAGAACGACGTAACGAAACGAAGATGGCGTTACTCCGGCGCTTTAAAGTACCAGCGAACAGAAGGCTACAGTTCGCCTTGCTCTGTCTGAATCTCGCAACTTTTTGACTGTTCCGCTGGAACGCCGGGGTTTTTTCTGACGTGTTATACTACACGGACACCAAAACGGTGTCTGTTGAACTAATGTCGACCATCTCCATGCACCGGGAGTGTGTGCGCGTGCGCACGTGTTATATAACCAGCCGCTTCAGTTAAATAATACCCTAACCTATATCCACTCCAGCAGATGATACGCTGTTGTCATGTTTAATAAATTGAGGGAAGCCGGCAGATGGTGGATGCAAAAGAAACCTCCTGCTGCAGCAGCAGCGACACTTGCACTCTGAATGCAGATTCCGGTGGGTTAAACCTAAACACCAACAGCGGAGATGATGGAGCTGCAGGATGCGCTCTTCTAGCTCTCCCGGTTATATAAGCAGAGGACACCAAAGATTTCTGGGAAATAAAAGCAGCCCCACCAGAACAACACAAATATTCCAGCGTGTGAGGGAGACTATAAACAAAAAAAGGTTGAGATTAAAGGAAAAAAAACAACATTGTGCTTCTGAACCTGACTTTTTTTTTCTTTCATTAAATTTGACTCATTACTGGGTTTTCTGATTGTTTAATAAAATAAAAAATAGGAATTTTACTAAATTGGAGATGCTTTTCATTAATTCCTTCCAGGGGCGGATTTAGGACTGAAGAAGATCCGGGGCTTAACACACACACACGCGCACGCACACACGTGTCACACACTAGTCAACAACATCATATATATTTGTCTTGTACCACATAATTTTTAATCTGAATCTACATATTAAGCATATTCAGGGCAGAGTATTGTTCCTGTTAGTGTTTAGTGTGAGATGATAGTAAATATTCCCTTTCTTTCTCCAACAACTTTACCTGATAAGCTAACTTTAGGCAAACCAGCAGCACAGCAAATATTTTCAAATAAGACTCACAAACCTGAGTCAACACCAGTCTCATCAAAGCTGGGGTTCTGTCGCCGTACTTTTTGTCTAAAAAACGTCCTTATGTCCATCTTCACTCATGCGTTTCAGGCAGAGTAGAAGAAGCCGGCTGCTGAAGGGCTTCTTCTTCAGTGGTGGAGGCTCAGGCAGGCTGTATACAAACTACTGCCAGCTGCTCCCTCTCTGTTGGACTTTGGTACTGCATGTTACTTCCGCGATTTAGATCCGGGGCTTTTCATTAAACATCCGGGGCTTCAGCCCAAGTAGCCGGGCCTAACGCCGCCCCTGATTCCTTCACAATAAGTGTATCTAGAAATGTGTGCATGAATACATATTAGCATTCTGGGTTCAGGTAGAAAGCAACACTTGAAGATAAAATAAAAATGCATGAATAATAATCAGCTAATGTTTGAAATAGTTATGATATTCAAACACTACTGGAATTGTTACAATAATTTCCATATGCAGTCTTCAAGCAGCAGGAGTTTTTGTGGAAATGCAATTCTCTTGTTTTTTCTTCCAAATACAGTTTGTTGGTTTTGATCCTTCTCTTTAGATTGTTGAGCTAGTCGTTGACAACAGTCGCTCTGCTGATGGGGAGGTCGAAGGTCTGACGGACGATTTCACGGCGCTTGAGTTCCTCAGTATGGTCAACGTGGGTCTGAGCTCACTGGCTAAGATTCCTTCACTGCCAAAACTACGTAAGGTAAGAAAGACCACTTCACCCTCAGCTCCAAGAGCAGGATGGCCTGTTGTAAGAATTATTATTTTTATTATTAGTTAAATCTAACATATTGTCTTTTTAAATTCAGTTTTGGTCAGGAAAACGTGTTACTGAAATGGAGAAACGTCTTCAACAGCAGTTGGGTGCAGATGGATGGATGTGTCCATGTGGTTTAGATGTAAAGTGTCTGTAGTACATCTGCTTGTCCACTAGGGGGCACTATTTAGCTGCGTCTCAGAGTTATTCTGAGGCTGCTGGGCAAGGAAAATCTAATTATCCGCTCCTCTTTCAAGGGAGCAACTTAAAAATAATTACAATGATAAAAGAGTGGATAGTAATAAAGTAAATACATAAAAGAAGCAGAGTAAAAATTATAAAATTTATAAGATTTGTCATTAAATAAAACTAAAGATAAAGGAAACAGAATAAAGAAAGATAAAAAATATATATAATAAAGCAGTTTTTAAAAATGATAAAACTTTGAAAAATTAATAACAAAAAAATATCTGAAGTGGGATAGTTTTGTTTCACTTCAGACATCTTGTCTGCTTTTCTGCTGAAAGCTTTTCCTAACTGGAATTGCCTTTGCATTAAAGATAAATAAACATATTTCTCACAACGCAAACTGTTTGGTTTACATATATTGCTCATATGTTAATATCCATTTATGAACTGCATGCTTTTAAATATTGATATTTTTTATATTTTAATTATTTGACCTGCTAAAGGAAAATGAGCTACATTAGTGTAGGTTTCAGTTTTTCTGGACATCCATCTGAACGTTCCCTCAGCTGTTCTCTTGGCTCTTCTTCTGTCTCCTCAGTTGGAGCTGAGTGACAACAACCTGTCTGGCTCTCTAGAGACTCTTGCAGAGAAATGTCCCAATCTGACCTATCTCAACTTGAGCGGGAACAAGATCAAAGAGCTGAGCACTCTGGAGGCTCTGGTCCGTTGGTTCTTCTTGCTCTGCTTGTTTAGGCTGCAGCAGAAGTGACCGGAGATGTAAAGATTCTGTTTCCTGCTGCAGCAAAACCTGAAGAACCTGCAGAGTTTGGATCTGTTCAACTGTGAGATCACGTCTCTGGAGGAGTACAGGGAGAGCGTGTTCGAGTTACTTCCTCAGGTCACCTACTTAGACGGCTTTGATCAGGAGGACAACGAGGCTCCGGACTCCGATGCCAACGATGAAGGTGAGACTAGTGGCCTCTACGTGAAGGGTTTTGGTCTCTGTAGTTGTCCCGTTCTGATGGTTCTCTCTGTTTGCAGATGAAGATGGTGAGGATGGGGCGGGGCCAACCGGCGATTACGGCGAGGATGACGATGAAGAGGAGGAGGAGGATGGCTCAGAAGGAGGAGAGGTGGGGCTGAGCTTTCAGGTGAACCAGGGCAATCAGGTGGGCAACTCAGCCTTTAGCCCGTAGATGGATCCAGAGCAGCCCCTCCCATCCCATCATGCACCTGTGTTCAGCCAGGCAGAGAACAGAGTTTCCGATTTGCAAGGAGCTGCTGGAATACCGTCAGATAGCAGCTCTGAGCAGAAAAATAATACAAATCATGGCAATTATGTTCAGGTTCTTTGTTTTGGTAGATTTGAATTAATTTGTCATTTCCATAGTAACACAATCAGCCTCGATCCATGTGGATTTTTCTGCTGATGTGAATCCTCCAAGGATGCTTAGATTGAGTTCAGTTCTCTGGCTGGTTTGTTGAATTCATCTGAGGTGTGAACGTGTTTTTGACCAGGCTCAGCCCTATCTGATCACGGTGTTGAGGAGGAATGAGAAATTTATTAGAAGTTAAGTCCGTGGGCTATTTTTTTTTTTTTCACTTTTATCTGTCCAAGTAAAAGCAGGTAGTCGTGAAATCTGTACTTTTTTTTGTCAGTGGTGTCCCCAAAGGGTTTGCCAGGGGGGCCATGGGAGATTATCGAGAAGAGAATGACGTATAGTCTACATTTTATTACAGTACAGGGTCAGAATATCAATTCATCAGATTTCTAAGAAATTATACGTAATTCCTGAAGGGGGAAAACTGGAATGCTGCTTTAATGAGACTTTCTTATGCTATTAATCAGGGATGTGTATTTTTGAAATTCTGGCGATACGATACATATCACAATATAGGGGAGACGATACGATATATCACGATATATTGCGATACATTCAGTCAGATGTTACAAGCAATTTTTTTACTGAATTTATTGTAAGAATGTTCAATAAACAGTCCAAACTGATACGTAACATGTTTAACATGAGGTATCTGAACCATGATGGAGGGATTTACATTTCAATGGTGGAAACAAAACCCGTTGCACACTGCTGCCAACTAGTGGGTGGCGATTGAATTGCACAAAACGAAAAGAAAATACACAAATGTTTGCATGTACATTCTTTCAATAATTAGATACACGGCTTTTGAATATCGATGTAATAATCACAGGAAAAAATATCACGATATATTGCCATATCGATATTTCCGATACACGGCTTTTGGATATCGATATAATATTGCTGGGGAAAATATCACGATATATTGCCATATCGATATTTACTTACATCCCTACTATTAATAGAATGTAAAGAAAATACAACAAACTGCAGGTGTGTGTGTGTGTGTGTCAGACAGAGTTGGTCTGATGGAGGATGACCTGGTCACAGTGATGTAACTACTAGTCTCATTAGTGTCGTTCAGTTTTGTGTCCCTGACCTGAAAACGCTGTCCTCTGGGCTAAACCAAACTCCTGTGTTGTGTCTGTAGGAGGACTATGAGGACGAGGAAGACTATGCAGACGAGGATGGTGAGTTCTAGACTTACAGGTGAGTCTGAACCCCAGCGGTGTGTCGCAGGCTGTGATTGGTCCATTCTCTCTGCAGAGGAACAGGCGGGCGCTCAGGGACAGAAGAGGAAGAGAGACGTAGAAGATGAAGGGGAAGATGACGACGACGACGATGAAGACAACTAGTCGCTCCGTGGGACCAACGTCTGCGAGTCCCGTCCCGACTCCCCCGGACCCGACTTCCATCCGGCGGCGCCTGCCGTTCTCAGATAGTTGGTTTCAGTTTGTTATAGAATCACTTGTTGTTTTTAGATCAAATAAGAAATTTATAGAGATTTTATCTGAACTTTACCTGCTGGCTCCGGCCGAAGAGTCCACAAGTTTCCCTTTAAAAACCCGATTCAGGTCCGAACTGTGGTCTTCTCCGGTAGGTCTGCACCCCCAACGTCTCATTGGACAACTGAAGTCTGGCTGCGGCAATCAGGTCTTCAAAGCACAGGAGATCAACCAGAAAAGTTTGGTTTTATTTAGATTTTCTGTCAGATCTTCAGGGACAACTTTTACAATCCTGCTGGCTTCCAGTGCTGACTCAGCAGCTTAGTCTCACACTGGATTTTAAATTTAAAGGAACAAATAATGAACTTTTGTTTGTCTGGTTTCTGATCTGTTGCTCAGCTGGTGTTGCGTGGGTCCTTGAATCATGTAAGAACGAAACAGCGATCAGCTCATGTAGCCACCAGCACCATCAGTAGAAGCGTTTCTGTGTGTTTCTGTAGCTTTTAAACAAACGCCGCAGCAAGCTGAGTCCCACCAGATGAGTTTGATGTAAACCATTCAGGTCCTGCCGTCAGCTCGGTTTTATTTATCTATTTATCTTGTTTTGGGTGTGTTTGTGTTCTCTGTTGGAACTTCTCTGGTTTGTTTTAAAGCCATTTTGTGGTTATTCATACAAAATTCTGCTGATGTAGCGTCATGATAGTCACGAGCTCTTATGAACACAGGGTCAACACACACACAGTGGTTTCATAGACGTACGGGGACCTTAATATTTCAGATCATTGAAACCACAAACTGACCTTAAAATAACCACAAATAAATCTTTAACTCGTTACTTTATCTTCTAGATCAAAACCTTTAAAGTTTTTTGTTTTAATCACTACAGACCCTTCGGCAGAAACAGGAAGTAAACACGTGTTCTCAGGAACCACCAGTTCACCTTTTTTTTGTGTTTGTTTGTTTGTTTGTTGTTTAACTCCTGAGCTACTAATTATAAACAGAATTTACACCAAATCTTATTAGCAGCTGTAAAAATAACAATGGAGACGTTTGGTTCATATCTGCTATGGAAGGAGCATCTGGTGGACTCCTGCTCCACCTGGTTATCGTTAGACCCTGCTGTACTTTAAATCCTGGTGTTTGTATTCTAGCGTGTGTTTCATTCAGTTTAGAACTGTGTGTGTGTGTGTGTGTGTGTGTGATGCTCGTGAGCGAGTGGCATTAGCTCTATGGATTTTGTTTTTGTTAACCGTGTTCCGTTTTTTTTTTTGGTTTCTATGTTTTATTAATAATGGCTGTTAATATTTTTATCCTTTTAAATGACAGAGTGGCTGACGCTCCCCTATAGGTGGGTAAAATCGCCACATCTCGGGCTCCGTTTGGAGCAGCCTGACAGCTCTCCTCGACCACCTCCTGCTTTTTGTTTTATACATTTTGCATCCTCGGCTAACGGCCTCGTGAGTTTTATCAAAGGGAGGCGTCTTTACATCAGTTAAACTTGTTATCAGCTGAATTATCTATTTATTTGCAGCTTTCTGCTGTATTTTATGATCTCTGTCAGATCAGCATTAACAGTGTTCATTATTAAAATATATTTATATTTACTTTTAAATCACTTCACAATGGGATTTGTTCTTTTTTTCCTCTTTAAACATCACATATACACACATTCACTCTACAAATAATGATTCTCAGTTCTCCAAACCAACCTTTTCTCCTCATGTCATGTTGGGAACTCCAGTATCTTCAAAGTTGTCGGCTGACTTTAAGCTGTTAACATCCGTTTGTTTGCTGTGTTAGAGCAAACTAGATCTTATAAAACAGAAAAGTTAAATTTTAAATTCTAATATATCTTCCCCAGTTTTAACACAAGATAGTTCCAAAACATTTGTGAATGATTAATATCTTGTAAAGAGCTTACTGATATCACTTTGGAGAAAACGGATTATTTCTGATAGGATTGACAAGCTAACTACTAGTCCAAGGTAGGTTTTTGCTGTTTAAAAACAACTCAATCCAAACACCCTAAAGCGGTTCATGCTAATGCTGTTTAATCAGTCATAAGCACAAATAGTGTTAGCAGTAGCAGCTAGCTTTAGCTCTTCTGGGCATCATCAGGAGTTTTTTCTGCCCTAAAAACTATTTTGATGATTATAAATAAGCATTCGCTCGTAAAATGTTTGAGCTGTTTAAATTCATTATCCTTGGCTCCACTAACATGAGCTTCTGGACAAACATCTCTTTAAACAGGTCAGTGAGAAAGCTCTCGACAACAGGTAGGCTATTGCTGACTGCTTAGAAATCACATTTGCGGATTTTACTTTGGAACTAACATTTTCAAGTTATAACTTCCCCAATCTTTAGTTTTAGTCTCTGGTTAACCGATGTTCAATAACAAAACACTGAATCAGTTAAAATTATTCAAAGTATTTACATTTATTTGTTATGCATTAAATATATACTTTCTAGGGAAAACAGAGATTTGTGGTGTAAACCACATTCAGGAGGTTATAAATATATTTAAATAAAGTTTTGATTATATAAGAACAACCATCTCTTGAACTATCAAAAAAGTACCAATATTTTTATTAGAAATAAAAAAAATTCAAGTTGTGATTAATAAACTGAAATTCATTCAGTGAAAACCCTAAAATAAAAAGATAAAAGCCAAATTTTTAGATATTAAAAACAATTTTGAATCAGAAAATTACTCATGTCTAAAATTTGAGTCATAAATTAACATAAATTTAGCTAATGAAATAAAAGAAAAGAACAATACAGACGAGCTGAAGATAAATACAACTTTTTGGGGGGAGTTTTGTAGGAAATATAAACTTTATTTAGGTTTGATTTTTTTAAATGGCAAATCAGAATTAACTCAATATTTCTTTATGATTTCTACTTTTTTTTTAGAGCGATCTGGGATCTTTTTGCTTTGGTAAATGGTTTTGATTGGCTGATGATTTATTTCTGAGCTACATGTTGTATTCATAGTATTTTCCTACAGGAGGCGCTATTCTCTCTTTTGGTAATTCTTGCTCATCTCTGACCTTTGCTTGTTTTCAGGATTTTATATTTAAATTAACAGACAATTTCAAAGTTTTACTGAATCTTTCAGTTATTTTTTCATTAACTGTTCCTTTTACGTTTCCTCCTTCCTTCATTTCAGTGAACTGATTTAAAACTAAATTATGGCTCATTTTTACTTATTTCTGGTTTTCAGCAACAAGAAAAGAGACAGCCGTTGGAGTGGAACAGATCTATAAATATCCATGTTTGATAGGAGACAAGTGAGCAAGGAAGCAAGGACACACCCTTCTGACATCTCCTTCTTTCTTCTTCTCATCTTGATCCACTTTGAGGAATTGCAACAGCTGTGACCACACACACTCACACATTAACACATACCCTCAGCTTCCCCTGGGAGCGTCCTCCAAGGAGGAAGCCGTTCAAACTGCTTATTATTCATCTGTTGTTCACTGTCTGCTGAGGCTCCGATTGGTCAGCAAAGGTCAGGTGATCAAAGGAGACGTGTCATCAAGCTGGGTTTAATGATCTACTGAGCTGATTTATGCATCTGCTGTGATTTTAAGTGTGTTTATACTCAGAAGCAGCTCATCATGGGCCTAAAGAGTCAGAGACGGGAGTTTCGTCAAACATCCGATCATTTCAGTAAAGGCTGATTCCAGTTTTGAACTACAAGGATCAATCTGAGGATTATTCACAAGAGGGCAGAGCCCATAGGAGCACGGGATGTCTTACTAATCGTACTGATTGATTTCCAGCTGAAACAGGATTAAAGTCCATGCTTTGAATTTGAAAGTTTCAATGTAAGGTGAAGCAAAATTCACAAAGTAAGAGAAAATCTAAAAATGCTGCTCTTACATTTAAAAAATGCATCTTTTATAGGCACGTCCAAATTTGAAGTCTTTAAATAAAACTGATTTATTTGTATATTCTTTGATATGAGTTGTTTACTTATACACAGGAACTGGGCTTTACATTAAATTTTTTTGTTTAAAGGTACAATAGGTTAGAATTCTGCAGTAAAATAACAAAACCATTTCATGTCTAAATCATGTTGGAAGGAATGTTACATTGGAACATATTTCCGACTCAGCAGGCTGGGGTGGCGGGTAGGGGTGGGTGGGTCAGTTTTTCTTCTTTCAAAAAGGCTACAGTATCTTTGTTTACAATGTGACCCACCTCCAAACTTCTTGGTTCCAGAGCCAATCATATTTGAGCCTGCCATGTTGCCAAGCCTGCGCCGCAAAAGGCTTTGGAATAATGCTAAGGCAGAAAACAGGAGTGACCCAGAAGTTAACCCCGGCATCTTTTTGTTTTACTCTAATATCGGGTAAAGAACACTGAGCTAATAATGTTAACAGTGAATTAAAAACAAATAGTCAGCTCTAATAATATCTCAAGCTACTTACCAACAACTGAAAATTACAGTGAAATGTATTTATCTATTAACTTACTGCGTAAGGATTGTCTTCGCTCATCATCTGGAATCTTCTGGCAACCATTGTTCAGAGTGGACTCATTTGTTTTGATACATGGAGTGCAGTACCTCAATTTGACCACAAGGTGTCCTTCTAGCTTCATGTACCTTTAAAATTCACCATAAATCTTACCATTCTAGCTCTATTCAGTTTCGTCGTCGTCATCTTCCTCCGCTTATCCGGGTCCGGGTCTCGGGGGCAGCATTCCAACTACGGAGCTCCAGACTGTCCTCTCCCCGGCCTTCTCCACCAGCTCCTCTGGCAGGACCCCAAGGCATTCCCGGACCAAATTGTAGAGGTAACCTCTCCAATGTGTCCTGGGTCGACCCGGGGGCCTCCTGCCGGAAGGACATGCCCGAAAAACTTCCCCGGGTAGGCGTCCAGGAGGCATCCTGACCAGATGCCCAAACCACTTCAACTGGCTCCTTTCGATCCGGAGGAGCAGCGGGTCTACTCCGAGTCCCTCCCGAATGTCCGAGCTCTTCACCCTATCTCTAAGGCTGAGCCCGGCCACCCTACGGAGGAAACTCATTTCGGCCACTTGTATCCGCAATCTCGTTCTTTCGGTCATTACCCAAAGCTCATGACCATAGGTGAGGATTGGGACATAGATGGACCGGTAAATCGAGAGCCTCACTTTCTGGCTCAGCTCCCTCTTCACCACAACAGATCAGCTCAGCGTCGGCATCACTGCAGATGCTGAACCAATCCGCCTGTCGATCTCCCGATCCCTCCTACCCTCACTCGTGAACAAGACCCCGAGATACTTAAACTCCTCCACTTGAGGTAGGACCTCTCCCCCGACACAGAGTTGGCAAGCCACCCTTTTCCGGTCGAGAACCATGGTCTCAGATTTGGAGGTGCTGATCCTCATCCCAGCCGCTTCACATTCGGCTGCGAACCTACCCAGCAAGAGCTGAAGGTCAGAGCTGGATGAAGCTAGGAGGACCACATCATCCACAAAAAGCAGAGACGAGATTCTCCTGCCACTAAACTCGACACACTCCACACCATGGCTGCACCTAGAAATTCTGTCCATAAAGGTAATGAACAGTACCGGTGACAAAGGGCAGCCCTGGCGGAGTCCAACCCTCACTGGGAACAGGTACAACTTACTACCGGCTATGCGGACCAAACTCATGCTCCTCTGCTAAAGGGACTGAATGGCCCTTAACAGAAAGCCACCCACCCCATACTCCTGGAGCGTCCCCCACAGGGTGCCCCTGGGGACACGGTCATAAGCCTTCTCCAAATCCACAAAACACATGTGGATTGGTTGGGCAAACTCCCATGCCCCCTCCATCACCCTTGCAAGGGTATAGAGCTTGTCCACAGTTCCACGGTCAGGATGAAAACCATATTGCTCCTCCTCAATCTGAGATTCAACTATCGATCTGATCCTCCTCTCCAGTACCTTGGCGTAGACCTTTCCAGGGAGGCTGAGGAGTGTGATCCCCCTATAGTTGGAACACACCCTCAGGTCACCCTTCTTAAAGATGGGGACCACCACCCCGGTCTGCCACTCCACAGGAACTGCCCCCGATGACCACGCAATGTTGCAGAGACGTGTCAACCATGACAGCCCTACAACATCCATAGCCTTGAGATACCCAGGACGAATCTCATCCACCCCCGGGGCTCCGCCGCTGTGTAGTTGTTTGACTACCTCAGCAACTTCTGCCCCTGAGATTGGACAGCCCATCCCCAGGTCTCCCGGCTCTGGTTCCTCCTCGGAATGCACATAGGTGGGATTGAGGAGCTCCTCAAAGTATTCCTTCCACCGTCCGACTATAGCCCCAGTTGGCGTCAGCAGCTCCCCATCCCCACTGTAAACAGTGTGAGCGAGTTGCTGCCTTCCTCTCCTGAGGCGCCGGACAGTTTGCCAGAACCTCTTTGGAGTCGATCGATAGTCTTTCTCCATGGCCTCACCAAACTCCTCCCACGCCCGAGATTTTGCCTCAGCAACTGCCACTGCTGCACCCCGCTTAGCTATCCAGTACCTGTCTGCTGCCTCTGGAGACCCACAGACCAGCCAAGCCCTGTAGGCCTCCTTCTTCAGCCTGACGGCTCCCCGAACCTCTGGTGTCCACCAGCGGGTACGGGGGTTGCCACCACGTCTGGCACCGGCCACCTTGTGACCACAGCTAGCAACAGCCGCCTCAACAATCACAGAGTGGAACAAGGCCCACTCGGAGTCAATGTCCCCCACTGCTCTCGGGACGCGGTCAAAGCTCTGCCTGAGGTGGGAGTTGAAGACCGTCTTGACAGGTTCTTCTGCCAGGCGTTCCCAGCAGACCCTCACTGTGCGTTTGGGTCTGCCAGGTCTACGCGGCATCTTCCCCTGCCATCTGATCCAACTCACCACCAGGTGGTGATCAGTTGACAGGTCCGCTGCTCTCTTCACTCGGGTGTCCAAAACATACGGCCGCAGGTCAAATGATACGACTACAAAGTCTATCATCGACCTGCGATCTAGGCTGCCCTGGTGCCAAGTGTACCGATGGGCATCCTTTTGTTCGAGCATGGTGTTCGTTATGGCCAAACTGTGGCTTGTACAGAAGTCCAAGAATGAAACACCACTCGAGTTCAGATCAGGCGGGCCGTTCCTCCCAATCACACCCCTCCAGGTCATGCTGTCATTGCCCACGTGAGCATTGAAGTCCCCCAGCAGGACAATAGAGTCCCCTGATGGAGCACTATCTAGCACTCTTCCTAGGTACTCCAAAAAGGGTGGGTACTCTGAACTGATATTTGGCCCATAAGCACAAACAACAGTCAAGACTCGTTCCCCGACCCGAAGGCGCAGGGAAGCTACCTTCTCGTCCCCCAGGGTAAACCCCAACACACAGGCAGAGAGTCTTGGGGCTAACAAAAAGCCAACCCCCGCCCTCCACCTCTCACCCGGAGCAACTCCAGCAAACGAGAGTGTCCAACTCCTCTCAAGGACTTGGGTTCCAGAGCCAATGCTATGTGTCGAGGTGAGTCCGACTATATCTAGCTGGTACCACTCAACCTCTGCCACAAGCTCCTGCTCCTTCCCTGCCAGCGAGGTGACGTTCCATGTCCCAAAAAACAGTTTTCTTATCTGGGGATCAGACCGCCAAGGCTCCCGCCTTGGTCTGCCACCCGATCCACATTGCACTGGACCCTTCATGTTCCTCCTGCAGGTGGTGGTGGGTCCACAGTTGGATGAGCCCATGTATCCGGTTCGGGCTGGGCCCGGCTGGGCCCCATGGGCGAAAGCCCAGCCACCAGGCCCTCGCTCACGGGCCCCAACCCCAGGCCTGGCTCCAGGGTGGGACCCCGGTAACCCTCAGGGCCGGGTACTCCAACTCTTTGAATTTACTTCCATGAAAGATCCTCTGAACCGTTCTTTGTCTCACCCTTCACCTAAGACCTATTTGTCATGGGAGACCCTACCAGGGGCACAAAGTGCCCCAGACAACATAGCTCCTAGGATCATTAGGGCACTCAAACTCCTCCACCACGATAAGGTGACGGTTCAAGGAGGAGTCTATTCAGTTTCGTGAAAGAAAATAATAACAAACAAGATTAAAATTAACCTTATATTCTCCTTAGTGGAAGTAATAACATTTAGGCGTCTGGTTATCTTGTGGAATATCTGCTCACGTGTTGGTATTGCTAAAAATATCTGCAGTAAATTTATTATTGTTGTTTCCTCACAGCAGTGTGATCAGTGAATGCAAATTATCTTTATTAGTGCCAGCCAGAGCCAGTTAGTTCAGCGCTCAGTTCAACCTAATGGTAGAATAGTTATTTATAGGTTCGTGTCTGTTTTTTAATTTGTTTTAGTTTTGTTGAATCCTGTTTGCGGTCGTCTTCTAGTGTTTCAGCTCTTCTGAAATATTTACACTCTGACTTAAAAGCCTTATGGTGGCCATGCTAGTTTTAGAGGACCTGGACGCACAGAGCCACACACACCTGCAGCAAACACAAAATAATCAAAAGGTTCAAGTTCCAAATTATCTTTAGATAAAATTTACATTAATGGAGGATTCTCTACAGGTGGAGCAATTTGATCTCCAGTTTTGAACTTTCTTTGTAAAAACGCTTGGTATCGGTTTTATCTGTGATTTACATTTACTTACTAAATATGTCATGTTGAGACATAATTGAGTTGACGTTGTTTCGGTTCAACCTTGACCAGCGTAGATTTTTGCATGTTGAAAATACTATTTTAATATTGTTCTGAAAATGTTTTGCAAATCAAATTAGTGTCTTGCACAGAGTGTATCAGTTAGTAAATAAAAGCAAACTGCAAGTATTTTTAGTTCTGTTGCTATGAGAGCAGCAGGATGAGATCAGGCTGCCTCTCTTTACTAATGATGCCAGCCTGCCAGTCAAAGCTCAGGGCCTCCGGGCTCCACAGCATCACAGGATCATCATGATGCTGCAGATCAGGATCATGAGATTCTCCCACTCCCCCAACCCTGTATCATACTCTCCCAGGGAGCCTGTGTGGTGGTTAAAGCCCAGAATACGCGCTGACCCAAGGAGGCCTCCACAGCATTCTCACAATCCTAGAATTTGCAGTTCTGTGAGTGGTTTTAAAAAATAAATGTCATTTCCCTTCAGATACTGCAAACCGATCCCTCCAAATCCTCCGATATTGCACAATATTACATAATGGTTTAGAGATTTGACCAAAGCATTTATAAGTCCATCATCTCTCAGCATAAAACAAGCTTATTTTAAAACTCTGGCATAAAATGAGACCACATTAATTTATTTATGCTCTGGCTCCTGGGGCTCAGACTTTCTTGTAATCATATAAAGTGGTCTTGATAACCGGTTCTTGGACATCGGCTGTGATTTCAGTCTAAAAACCGTTTTATGGCTGTAAAACTGTTCTACGGTTTTCATACTCGACTAAGTCAGGGAGACGAATCGTGTCTAAAAGTCTAATTTAAATGTCATTTCATTATATATTTCATCTGGCTCATCCATTGAGTTAGGATCCTATTTATGTTTATCAGCACCTGTGCCACGCCACAAGTCGTAACAATAATAAACTCTCCTCTTCCATCCCTCCACGACTAGGCCCAGCGGTCACATTAAACGGCCCTGACGTGCAGTAATCGCAGCTCCATTTATCTGTGCTTGGAAATGTACGGACTGACAGCATTAAAGATTTACAAGAGCACATGGACGTAATTTTCACTTTGGGGGGGTATCTTTACAGTATGCTCTAAAGGGAAACAGGCTTCAAAACAAACGGTTGTTTTCCGCTTGGTCCTAGAGCTCAACCAGTGTCAATTTAATATAACGTAATGTTGTTTTTGGATGGTAAAAAGTGCAGGGATCAAAACTTGATTTTGGAAAAAGTGTGTGTGTGTGTGTGGGGGGGGGGGGCATGTCCCCCCTGTCCCCCCCCCAAAATTACGTCCATGCAAGAGCAGACACGGGAAAGAGAGAGATGATGATAATGATAAAGAGGAGACGAGAGAAGTGAAACGAGGAGAAGAAACGGTAAAAGACGCGAGGTTGAGATGAATAAACGAGGTCGAGGCTTTGAACAGACGCTGCAGGGCTCTGAGTCACACAGTCCCCCCCCCCCCCCCCCCTGTAATCCTCCATGCTTTAACTGAGAACAAACTGTAACACTGGCCCGGTACGCCGGGCTTCTGAGCACGTGTTAATGTGTGCAAGTGTTAATAAAACATGCAATAACGCCCTCTCCTCGTCGTCCTCCTCCACCCATGGAGAAGGAAGCTAAACTGGAAGCATCAGACAGCAAAAAGCAAGAGAGCGAGTGTGATGACACACAGGGAGAGAATCAGTATGAATAATTTACTCTGCTCCGATCTGAACATGAATCAGCCTCCATCGTCTCTCAGTAAATAACCCTGTTAAAGAACAGTTTTATTATGTCAAACTTGTGGCTGGAACAATAATTCACACCTTACTGATTTGAAATCCTTGTTAGGAATGTTTTAGTTGTTTCCCTGCTTCAACACGGTTCATTCGCCTGTTCAGCAGCTCGCCAATCTCAGCAGAAGCCTGATTAAAATCTGGTGTCTTGAATCAGAGACGCCTCTAAAACATGCTGGATACCGAGCCCTCTCTCGGACCGGAGTTGGCTACCCCGGTCCTAGAGGATCCTGAGGTATTCCCAGCCCTTGGAGGATTTCTGGTGAGGTTTGGATTTGCTTTAAGTTGGGGAACATGCCCCCAAAATCCCAACAGACTGCCTCAGCTCACTCTTGATGAAGTAAAACAGCTGGTGGATGGATTTCTAGCCAGGATCTTGATCCTCTAAATCTTGCAACCATATGAGGGTTAGAGGCCAAGTAGGCTCAAAAGTGGTTCTTTTTGGCTCGGCTTCATCTCAGACAGACCGGAGCAACACCCTCGTTCCTGCAGACGTAGCCCAGATCTACTGGTCCATCTCTCTCCATCCCACCTTAATCCTGCTTCCGATCACCTTTACTGTCCTGCGCTGAAGCTAAACAGTACAAATTTATGTTTTTTCGATGTTTGTCTTTTGTTTGAGTTGCTCTGAAGTCAGAAACAGCATGTGGGACTTGTACATTCCAGTTTGCCCATTCTGATTCCTGCTCTATAAAAAGTTGGAGGCAGTAGTTTGAAATATTTAAAACCTCTGAGCAGCAGCACTCTGGTCCCTATCACCATTTAGTCATGAACGCATGTCTACCATGCAGTAGATACCTCCTTTACCACCAGGGAAGATTTAACCATGCAGAACATTGGGAGGTATTAATCGATCCTCGAGACCCCATGGATCTGGCTTGCTTCTTGTAGAGGCCATCGGATCTCATCATAATTGGTATTGGAGAGGCGGGGTGATGACCTCAGACTCTTTGATGACGTCTGGAGCCGGTCCCTGCGGTAACCTGAGAAGGAAAAGGATGCTGTAGGGGAATGTAAGGCGTGGGATCAATGTTTAATCGAACCATAAAAACACGAACAAACTTAAAAGGGCAGCTCTCCATCTGAAAACGCAGTAATCACTTCATATGCGGCTCACTGATCCTGGATATCCGACACAGAGATAAACTAATGGAGCAAATGGGGGATTAAAAAAAAGAGATTTAATGAATTCTATTAAATTATTTCTTTAAAGTGGGTTTAGTTTTCTGGTTTTCACGTTTCCCTGCAGCAACATGAAATCCAGCACAAATAATGGCAGCAGATTAGTCATCAAGAAATGCTCATGCATGCATAGATGATCTCACTGATGCATCAGAGTGTGTGTGTGTGTGTTTTAGAGGCTGAGCTGTGTAATGGAGCGATGCTCTTTGTCCTGCCCTACATCTGCTTCAGCTCTTCATCACAGCTCACTGACCTGCTCCGTGTTGATGATCAGAAAACAAGTCATGGAGATGTATTAAAGTGACAGTGTGTAATTTCCCTGGCAATAGGGGGCAGTAGATACCTGAATCATGGCAAGCAAGCATCATTTTTGTGTTCAAATAAGACCTTACCATTGGATGGGATGGGGTTGGACAGCTGCGTCCTGCTAGTTAGCAACGACTGATCTAGAGCGCAGACATAGACATAGGCATAGATATACAGGAAGAAGAGCCTGCTGACCTGATTTGCGTGCCCTGTCTGGGAACTCACATCGCTCATTAAAGCCGCATACTGAGGAAGTAAACTGTTTGAAATATGTGTAATGGGACACAAGGACAAACACATCTCTGATCAGTCACCTGGTCTTCTATCCCACTTAGGACTGTTTTATTCAAACAAAGAAGAAGAAATAAATCAACCGGTAACGTGAGACAAACTGACTTCCTTTGGGATTTGTTTAACTCAAATATTTTTAGCAAGTTGAAACCAACAAAAAGCTACATAAAACAGGTGAGTGCATTCACCTTACCAGCTTATTCTCGTTTGCGTGTTTCCACGAGTCGTGGATCGTCCACACAAATCAACAGTAATAGTTTTGGTGTACCCACAATGCATTTCAAACACTAACATACGGATCTAAAATCAAGTAAAGTTATAAAACAACTTAAGATCTTTTTTTCCCTATTTGACAGTGAATACAGCATTGGATTCTGCTTTTTTTTCTATGTACATGAACATTAAAATAAATAAAAATGAATACATCTCTTCAACATACACTCATCGTACAGAAAATTCAGCTCTTCCAGTGTCTGTGCTTTCTAATTCCAAACAAATGTGCAAAAACAACAAAAAAGAGACCCAAACGTGACGCTGCTCATATGACGATAAATGTTTTACGTTACAAAATGTGACAGTTTGCTTAGATTTAAAATCAGCAGCTAAATAATTTTTTATATCCCGTGTAACAAACAGTGGAAGATCATTTAGTTAGTTGTGACTCTATAAAATGTAAAAACGATCAGATTTACTTTACGTTCATTACAATAATAAAACCAATGGATTTAGCCCTCATTAGTTGTAAATATTTATGTTTACGTGAGAATATCCTGCATTATTAACATGTTTATGTGTTTGCAGTTTACATTTGGTGACCAAAGAGAACTGTGTAGTTGTATTATAGGATTTAAATCAAACACAACTTTGTTCGCTTTATGAACAATTAAAGGGAAAGTGTGTAACATTTTTAAATAGTGACTGAATTTGTAATTATTTAAATAGTGCAGAGTTGCATGTTTATAAAAAAACCCTGTTATCATTGAGGTAAAAAAAATCATGCAACACATTCCTTTATTTGACCAAACTGACCCGGCCTTTCCAATGGATGCGTAAGCGGCACGTAATATAAGATGATGCATTTCCCACTGGGAGCATACCCTGCAGCCTGCGAGGTCAAGAAATCGCCGGAGAGAGGATGCATGATTCCGGCAGTTCACAAAAAACGCAAAGTGGAAGACAGTAGCGTGTCTCCATAAAGGTCTATGGTTTCTTTTGTTTTTTACCTCAGCCACAGAGACGTCACAGGTAATGACAGGCTTCTTTTTTACTATTTACTTGGGGCAGCAGTAGCTCAGGTGGTAGAGCGGGTTGCCTCATGATTGGAGGGTCATGGGTTCAATTCCAGCTCCCGCCAGGGGTATCCTGCTGTTGTGTCCTTGGGCAAGACACTTCTCCCAACTTGCCTGTGTTAGTGGGTGTCAGAGGGGCCGACGGCGCCAAATGGCAGCCTCGCCTCTGTCAGACCCCCCCAGGGTGGCTGTGGCTACAAGTAGCTTACCATCACTAGCAGTGTGTGAATGTGAAAGTGTGTGAAAGCGTCTTTGGGTGTCTAGAAAAGCGCTATATAAGTTCAATGCAGTATTATTATTATTTAAATAACAAGAAATCTGCATGTGTCTTTTATTTTGAAAACCCCCAGATGTTTTACTCTGACCCCGTGTTTGACTTCCTGTCTGTTCCGATCTGAACTACTGAGCTTGTCGCAATCCGATAATGTAGCGAGTAAAAATATATATTCAGAGCCTAAATTTGGCAGACGCCTCTGGGACGCATCCAAGATGCAACCCTTCACCACTAATTGTATGTATAATGGACGGCCCCTTCGCGTCCTCTCCCGTAGGTCTCTGAAGAACTGAATCGAAGCTCAGTGGGCGGATCCCGCAACCTTTTTAGTCGAGTTATGCATTTCGTCACTCCCCAAAAACACAAAATGGAACAGAGAGGGGGGCTGTGAGGGTAGGGGCAGATTATTGACACTCACCACTCTGAGCTAATGTAGCTACGAGTTAACTGAAGCTAACGGAGGTTGGTGACGCTTTTAATAAAACCGCAGTTTGGCGACTCTGCCTTCTTCTAGGCTAACATTTTAAGTGAGACCAAAACTAAGGCCTTCCCTGGAGCAAGCAGGGAGCTGCTAGAGCTGATGGTTCATCTGCTAATTACACCCAAATTGATAAGTTATACAAAAAAATGCACCCACCTCACAGTTGTCATGACGGTAAACTTGAGCTATTAAACCTAAAATGTTTTTTTGAACCAGGCTGTAAACATGTTCATTTCTGCTGTGAATTTGCCTTTTTTAACATGGGAGTCAATGAGAACTTGCTCCTTTCTGAAGCCAGCCCCTAGTGGATGAAGGAGGAACTGCTATTTTTCTTACTTCTTCATTGACTTGACTTTTGGCAGGCAGTGTTGGTGGAAACATCCATTCACTGTAACAGCGGCGTTCTGAGCTTCGCGGACCTTAACCGATGCTTACGCAGAGCTGGAAAGGTCGGGTTTAAAGTTTAGCTGCCATTTGTAACTAGAGCCACTAGAAGGCGCCACATGCAGCATACAAGAGCTTCAAAGTTGCAGCTAAAATAAGACCTTTCACATTTGAAATGAATTAAATGTAATATTTCAAATCAGCTTTGCATGATTGCTACACAAAAACAGACTTATAAATATGTAACCTTGGCCAGCACTTCTTTGGTCATGTAAATTTACTCATCAGTGGTAAATATGACAGCAACCCATCTGCAGCTCGGGTCATTTTATTACCCCGTCCACGAGGCTCTCGTTTCACCACCTGCTTCATGTCTGCAGCATTTTTGTTTGTTACAAAATCACGTAGTCACGCATGTCTTTAATATTCAACTGTGTGCATTGAACAAAGCCACGTTTGACAACGAAGCTTCATCATACCTGGAGCAAACATTGTGCAGGAACAAGTTAGGTGCATTTGTAAAATGTGAAAAAAGTGCTGTCCTAGCATGTGCTATGATTCGGAAGTGGCCCTTAAAAACGCGTGTTTTCATGCAGATTCAATTAGGAGGAACCTGTGCATCGTTCACGGATGTTTTAAATTATGCATCAGCATCAAATATCCAGCAAGTCATTACCGACATCTCCACAATTCCAGTCAAAAGGATTCACAAAACACGTTCAGCCAGTTAAAAACAAGGCCAAGCTTCAGTCCGTAGTGCAGAGTGCTTCTTGGTGTCGGACACGAATTATAAACGAGTCATTTTTCTTCATTATTGCTTTTCTCTCTCTTTTTTTCTGTAAAGTCCCTGATTTTTGCTGTGATTGTATAAAAATTAATAACAAGCTGGAAGGATTTTTTTTTATACAAAGCTACAAATAAATTTGAGCTAAGCAATTCATAAGAAAAATGCCACAAAAGGGGCTTAAATATATCAGCAAACAGATCCGTCTTTTCTCCGTGTTTTTTAATGCCGTCTTACTTTAGCGCTCGGGAAACGTTGTGCTCATCCAGGACTTTTTGTTTTTTAGTGTTCAAAATGTTGATGTTCTTAAAAAGTTGTCCTTCATTCCCAAACAATGTAGAATCAATAGAAAGGCTTTTCACTTCGCTTCACTTTCTGGCATGAAGCGACAGGGAATGGTGCAGCAATGCTAGAGGGGGTGGTGGTGGGCCGCTCGTTTAAAAGTGTGTTTACTCAAATTAAACGTGACACGTCCGCCACAGAGGGAGGCGTCCTGGCAGCACGCGTGAGAGGGCGTCTGCCTGGCGACAGCGGAGGATTAAAGTCACAAAACCTGGAAGGAAACATACAAAGTAATCCACGTTTGCTGGATTAAAAGGTCAAAATCGTTTCAGAAGAATAAGAAAAAAAAGTCCTAATTTAGTTCATCTTGTTACTTTTTGTGCTTAAACATGCTGAGAAATGCTGCGACCTCCTCTGAGAAAATTCAGATGCTGAGAGATTTTTTTCGTTAAGGTGTCTCGGATCCGTCGTCGTCCTCCGGAGACGTCGGCGACGCCGGGGTTTCGTCCTCCTCGGCCGCGGTGGTTGCCGCGGACAGCAGAGACGTCGTCGCTGATGTCGTCATTTTCTCGTAGGTCCTCCTGCGCTGCCGCCTCAGCGTCTGGCTCTGCAGCTCCTTCACCTCCTGCAGGACCTCCTGCGCTTCTTTCCACGATGACACCGCCTCCTCCAGAAGGCGCTCAGCCTCGGCACGCCGGCTCTCCACCTCCGGGTCCTCCTCTGAGAGATGTGAGGCTGCAAGAGGAGGGGAGAGGCTATGTTTGTCTGGGGTTTTAGGCCGCAAGGAATCGAAGGATCCAGACACTCTCGGGGAATTCTGACTCAAAGGATTCCCAGTGCCAAGGGAGTCAGATTTGCTGGTCTGTGGTGAATCAGGTGTTTTAACCTGAGAGGAGTGGGATCCTTTGGGACAGGAGGAGGTTTCAGGTGTCTTCTGTGCAGGAGAGGCATCCCGTTTACTGGAAGATCCCTTGAGTTTTGGCGAGCGGACCGTGTCTGAGCTCTTAGATCGAGGAGATCCAGACAGATGCGGAGAATCTTTCAGTCGAGGAGAGTCTGTGACTTTAGCCGCGGGCGAGTGGGATCCTCTGGAGCGGGCCGAGTCTGTCCCTTTGGAACGGTTCCTCTTGGCTTTGGATCGGGGAGACTCCCTTCCTCTCAAACGAGGAGAGTCTTTTCCCCGGAGGCGAGGCGAATCGCTGCTCCTGCTCCTCGGGGATCCAGACGACCTGCTAGGGAACACCACAGTCTGATTTCCACAGATTTAACTCAGCTTGAGAACAGATTACCCCACACACAGAACTCATGAGAGAATTTGTCATGTTTCAGTCCTTGGCCGTATTTTCTTTTAAATAACAGAAGTGAATGTGATGAAGCGCACCTGGAATGGGGGGAGTCAGAGCCCCGGATGTGATGGAGTCGAGGGGAGTCGACGCCCTTCAGGTACGTCGAGCTGCCTCCGTGTTCTCTCTCGGCTTTGGCCTTCTGCAGCTCCTAGAAGAACATTTGTCATTTTTCATCCCATTTTTTTTTACACCAACACTCAGTGAAGCGCCCCTAAAGAGAATCCATCAGACCTGCAGTCTCATCTCCTCCAGCAGCTCCTGAGCTCGCTGCATCTTCTGTGCGATGAGACTCTGCAGCTGACCGACGGGCTGGGCGGAAGCCCCGCTCCCGGCCTCTTCCTCAGTTGTACAGCGACGCAGAGCCGAACGAAACTCTGAACGGATCATTGCAGGCCTGGAGAAGAGGGTGAATATCGAGAGTAAATGGATGCACCAGATTACCAGGACCGTGCTTCTCCGGCAGCAGTAATCCCGGATAATTATCCAGATCCAGATGTGGGCCCTGCAGCTGTGCAGCATCTGTGGAGTTCTCTGGACATTTCCATTAGTTACCCAAATCACCTCCTCACCTTGTTTCTATTAAATATTTAATCAAAATGTGTCCTAAGGTGGACATCCTTAGAAATGTAACAATGACAACAGAGCCAACGCCATGTTTCCTTGCTGTAAGAGCGACTGAACAAAAGGCTTGTGAGGCGTTTGCAGACCTAGAGGACAGGACTTCGTCCATGGAGGCGCAGCGACTCCGACCCTGCATGCTGAATCTTTTCCCCGGCTGAGGCGTCCGAGACTGAGCCTGGAGGACCTAAAAGGAAACAGTTGTGTTGATTTATACGTATGGCTCAAACGTTTATCACCAAAAAGGAATTTAGAGACACCAGCTGCATCCCAGAGCTTTCTTACCTGGACTTGCTGGTTCTTGTGGACTTTGGGGACTTCCAGATGCTTGCCCCAGGAGAGCTCGCTCCCTCGGGGTAAACTGCTCGTCTTCACTTTAGGCTCTTTGGGCGTGGCCCGGAGCTTGGAGACGTCAGTGCCGGCTCTCTGACGACCCCCACCGGAGCCCTCCTTCTGCAGGTCCACCCGGAAGCTGTTCTCCCAGGAATCCTGCAGGTCGTCATCGTAGTCCGGGGGGAAGCCGTCCTCCTCGGCAACCAGGTCAAGGGTCAGCATGCCGTGAGAGGAGGTGGATGCCTTTGATGATGATAAATGAGTAAATTTAGGTTTACAAAGATGGATTCGTTTGTAAACAGCGGGAGGGCGGGGTCTCGTACCACGGCCATGAGGTGTCCTCGGGTCGGGAGCCGGCGGCTGTGAGGGATCTTCGCTCGGTCTCTGGTGGGATGAGCCAGAGCGCTGTCCTCCTCTAAGGTCACCTGGACGGACATTTACACACACTTCACACACCTGAAGGCCACTGGGACAAAATCCAACAGACTATCAGTTTGTTCGTTACTTTGAGTCAAATAAGTTCAGACCTCGTCCAAAACTCTGTTCTTGGCCTTGATGATGGCCACGTTGAGGGCATTGATCCATGACTCCTTCTCCTCGGGACTCACAGCCAGAAACACCAAGTTAGGAACCTGAAAAAGACCGTCTGATAAAAAAAAAGTCTCACTATCATCCCTAATTCACCCATTTGAGTGTTGCACAGATTAAACTGACTACCTTGAGTGAGTTCGGGCCCTCTGGGATGGATTTTGTTCCTAATTCCACACATAAACTTTGGTTTTAAATCATTTGAAAGCTCTTATTTTGATGTTTACAGAAACTGAGGAAGTTTGTGTGTTTTTTATTCCATGAGCCCTCCCAGTTTCTCTCCTCTATCCCGATGCTGCCTGACCTAAAGTGATGGACGTCAGCTACAAAAAGCTGCTTCCTCTCTCACATCCCCTCAGATTTATCACTCACTCGCCACCACACATGAGCGAACCATCTCAATCGCATTTCCTTTCCTTCGCCCTGGCCGCGTCGTGGGCAGAAAGATGGACACGTGAAAGTGTTTCGGGGATTATTCAGCTGTAACTCACAAACTAATGGGATTCTGCAGATTAAACCTTTTTTTAAAAGAGTTTAAAGAACAACATGGCTCGGCCAATCGAAACGATCCAGGCGAAGGGGGGCGGGGCTGTATGAAGTCTAAGCTACCAATCCTGAGGCAGATGTAGGAGGGGATCCACCAATGAGGTGGGTGGTGTTAGTCAGGGCGGTGTAATCTCTGAGAGGAGAGGGTGGATGGAGATGAAGAGACACACAGAAACGCTTCAGAGTTTTCACATCTGGGCTTAAATGAGACACCAGAGTCCTCTGGAGCATAATTTAAAAACACTTTTTTAATTTTCGTGCTGCTAAGCAAACAGAATTTGTCATCTTTAATCTCCATCACTTCTTCGGGCTTTCTGACGCTCTTTCAAAATGTTTTTAGGACTTTTGCTGCTTCTGTAAAGTCAGATTTTCATCTATTCACAATAAAAAAAACTGTTCAGTTGGAAAATAAAACCCAGAAAATCTTTATTGGTGCACAGATTGAGGCAGTTTCTTCAGAGGTTAAAGGTTAAAGATAATCTGGATTTCCTTCATTTAAATAAGACACAAATCTCCATCTCAGCAGGAAGAAACAGACTGATTAAAGCTCCCGTTTGTTTTGTAAGTAAAAACCTGCTTCCTGGTTGTGAACCAATTCATTCGTTAGCTGATCCTGAAACAGTTTAGCTTCATCGGAGTTCAGCTGAATAAAGTGCTAACGTGACATTTTTCGTCGATCTGCAGATCCAGAGCAATAATCTCCATTTTCAACAGCTGAAGCATCCTTATTACCAGAAGCTGCGGTTTGGTCACATGACCTGAGCGTGACGGCTATAATTACAGTTTGTGAAGGAAGACAAATGAAAAGAAAATGAGCTGTGGCTTCAGACCAGCAGGCCAAAATGAAGGCACACTGCCTTTCATACATCCTGTAAAATCATCCTATGTTGGGAAATGATGACGAAGTGGCCATTTTTGTCCATCCTGAAAGAAGTGTTGGGAATGACTCTCAGCTGCGGACGCACAGATTTTCTGCTTGATTTATGATAAAATGACTGAGCTGGAGCCATTTTTGTGTTGGGTAGTTAGCTATCTTTGGCGACCGACGTGACCCACCCCAACCCTAACCGGGCGTTTCCACTGAATGCGAAAGCATAATGTCTGCGAAAGCGTAGTACGTAGCTATTAGCCCTCATTATAGTCTATGTGTGTGTTTCCACCAGTAGTGAGGCGTCGTCTTTTGGGACACGTGCTAGAAGCGCAGTGACACGTCACTCTGCTAAATTTATAATTCGAGTTTATGTTCTATGCGCTACGCTTCCAGAACAGATAAAGCTCAGCAGTTCAGATCAGGCCAGACAGGAAGTCAAACACGAAAGGCGTGTAAAACACCCTGGAACTTTCAAAATAAAGGGCACATGCAGATTTCCCGATGCTAGTAAAAACGCTACACCATTACCTGTGAAATCTCCATAGCCTAAGTAAACGACACAGAAAATGAACCACAGAACTTTTTGGAGACACGCTACCATCTTTACCTTGGTTGTTATCACATGAATCACATGTGGTCTCTGTTGATTTCGTGCTGAGCTCCTGGGTAAAACGCGTCTATTACATAGGTAATAGATGGTCGACTCATGGGTCTCCAGAAGAACGAAAAAATGAATGCAAGTCAACGGGGCTAAAAACGCTATTTTATAATCCGCTTTGCCTTACGCCCTGGATCGCACAAACGTTGTACTGCAATTTAAATGAAAAATAATGATGGGTGTTTCGACCATGCCAGTCACGTACTTTGAGATTTATTAGCTTGTAAAAGTTCATAATTAACATGACTACATACCAGAAATCGGCACGATGCATATGTGATGTCACCACATAATCTTCTCTCCCCAAAGTAGCTGCTACTTATGGTGGTTCTTTCCTCCTGCGGGAAGGATTTGGTGATGTTCACGAACGAATCAAATCTTTTGAACGGGTTTTTAAAGTGAACGATGACAGCCGAGTCCCTGTAGAGAGCCGTTCATCTTGTCTTCCGGTAACAAACCTCCCCGGAAGTCGGTAAAGTGCACCCGCTCAACCACCACCCACCGCTGTGACGGACGTCGGGAGGAACGCTACCCAACCACCATACGCCCTCACGGACACCGGAGGAACACGCTGTTCTTAATCCCTTCCCCACCCCCCGTCCTGTATTCTCCGTGCCTGGTTCGATGACGTGAAGTGCATTTGTAGTCCAGGACTTATTTTCACACAAAACCTAAAATATCGTTCCCCCAGTTAAGTAAGCGCGTTCTTAGTATCAACATGTGGCTTTAAAATTCACAGACATCATATGTGAAATCCATGGCACAAAACAAGCGGAATTAGAAAATAGTGTTTTTAGCCCCATTGACTTGCATTTATTCTTCTGTTCTTCGGGGGACCCGTGGTCTGGAAGTGGAGGGGGCGTGACTTATAGCGCTTACACATTGGCGTCGGCACAGTCGGGCTGGATGGCGTGAGTTCGGTCTCAAACGGGCGGTGTGGTGTTCACAGAAATCCGAGGGACTTCTCAGGAATGCAGAAATCCCCGAGCCTGTGGGCGGTGTTGAATACACGCGGGAAAGTCTGCGGTGTCGTCCATTATAAGGTAAACAAAGACGGACATGAGCGGCATTGCTTTTGGAGACTCTGAACCTCATTATTTTATTAATCTGCTGTGCATGTTCTCATAATCTTGTGCCACACACACACACCTATTCTCTTCTCCCGTTCCCACACTGATCGGCAGCTCCGGAACGGCAGCTCTGTGCTACTGACAGAAGTTTACTCAACAGCATCCAGCATGAAAATGAATTGTGCATGCGGGAACCCCCCGCTGGCTCATTCTTCTCACAGATTGGAGGCGGTAGGTGTAATTTCAGTCAGCCAATCAGTTCGTAGTGTCGCCTCGGTCCCAGTCCGACTGCTGGGGAAAAGGTCTGAGAAAAAGTGTCGCCTTGGCACAGAAAACACAAATCTGACCTGTGTGTGAAACCAAATTCCGGTGCCGTTCGGGACCTTTTGGGGCCGTGCCGACGCTAATGTGTAAGCATCAATAGGCTCCCTATTATGCACTGCTTACACATCTGATGGAAAGGCCGGGTAACCCTAATAAACATCATGGCCCGCCTACTGCTTTTAGCAGCAGGCGGTAACAAAATGGTCTGAACCTGAGGACTCACAGTGTTTCCTCGGTGTCTGCAGCGCAGCACCGTGAAGCGGCTGTGATTTTTCTTGCTCCGACTCTTCGCCTTCCTCAGTTCCTCCGAACGCTCGTAATCAGCCAGGTCAAACACTTCCTGTGCTTTACGCTCGTCTTTCACCTGCAAACACAACAAAAATATATTTATTATTATGAAGAATTGTAGCTAAATTCTCTCTAAAGACAAAGTTCATTAGATTTTTTCGACACATTAGCAACTATCTTCAGTATAAATGAATGCCTCGTGAGTCCTGTTTTCTCACGGCTCACCATGGTGCCTCTAGCTTTTCCATTTAACACGTTTAGTGATGGCAGGATGTCAGTGGAACTTCAAACTGATGCGATTAATGACCACATTCTACAAGTTCAGCTGACCTGTGGTATTTCACGAGTAACCATGGCGATCCAGACGTGTAAAACGCCATCGTACTAAAGCCGAAATCGAGATGCGAGACAAAATAAACGTTTTATTATTTTTGAGGGGTGTGGCGTTGACGTGATCAGATGTGAAAGGTTGCGTAGAAAGTGACTTCTGCAATTTTCAGACGCCGTTCTGTGCATAAACATGCTTATACATGAGGATCAAGCCCTGTAAGAGTTACAATTGTTGATAAAATGAGTTCCTCCATCCCCACTTCCTGCCTCTCTCTCTCTCTACACCAACAATCACATAAAGACGTAAACGGATATTAGATGGTAGAGGCCGATCGATATGGGTTTTTTTAAGGCCGATACAGAATCTTAAAGAATTTTGTTGCAGAAGTCTGATATCTACACCTGATATGTGCATGCGTGTGTGTGTGTGTGTGTATATACACTAGACCTACATGCTAGCTGCCGTGTACAGTAGTGGTGTCTGGAGAAGGGACTGATCTTTATTTCTGCACCAGTTTGACAGAAATATAAATAAACGCCACTTTTTCATCAGTGAATAAGTTATAACTTTAACAACATTAAGTGAACAAACTATTTTGACTTGTTTACATTTAAAAATTGATCATTTGGCTTGATTTAGCAAACTGAAAAGTCAAGAGGCTCAACTGCAGGTTATCTTTATGAACGTATTTAACTTCTAAGTAACTTATAGTTTTTGTCACATTGCTCTTTGATTAAACACTACCAGGAAAACTGAAATCTCTGTTTATATTTAAAACCTTTACTGCTATATGAGCATCAAGACCAAAGAGAAATTTCTTTGATGTCAAACGGTTTGTTATTTGTCTGAAGAGGATTGTATCGTCTTCTTTAGGTTCTGATATCTTTTTATTAATATATTTCTACGTCATCAAACATCTGGTCTGTGATCCGATCATTATTATGCATAAGAGGTACACCTGATGATGGCTACTTTTATGTTAAATCGCGTTTAGAGGGACAGGATGACAGAATTCAAAATGCAAACAAAAAAGAAATCTTTAAAAAAGTAATGAAGTTATTGAATATAATATAATATGTAAAGCTTTCTTTATTTGTACTTTACTTATTTTCTTCAGGTCTACTTTTTACTTTTACTTCACTAATTTTTAAAGCCACTATCTGTACTTCCTACTTCACTACAATAGGGAGCCTAGGTCTCCTCTCTTCCCGGTCGGCTCACGAGTCCCCGGAAGAACGAAAACATGAATGCAAGTCAACGGGGCTAAAAACGCTATTTTCTAATCCGCTTTGCCTTACGCCCTGGATCACACATATGTTGTACTTCAATTTAAACGTGATCCAATGATGGGTGTTTCAATCACGCCAGTCACGTACTTTGAAATTTATCAGCTTGTAAAAGTTCGATGTTGGCATGACTACTAATCCGACATCGGCACGTTGCATATATGACGTCACCACAAAATCTCTGCCATTTTCCCCTTTTTTCCTCTGTGTCTGCTTCGATGATGTCACTTTCATAAAGCGCATTTGTAGTCCTGGACTTATTACACAAAACTTAATATAACGTCTCCCCCCTTTCGAAAATAAGGGCGTTCTTGGCATTAAAATGCATCTTCACGGACATCATATGAGAAATCCACGGCACATAACAAGCAGAATTAGAAAATAGCGTCTTTAGCACCGTTGACTTGCATTCATTTTTTTGCTTTTCTGGGGACCCGTGGTCCGGAAGTAGATGGGCGTGACTTAGGCTCCCTATGGAGCGCTGTCTGTCACCTATGATACTGTCACTATGGTAAAGCTATGAATCTTGCGTTACCATAGTTACAGCTCAGGTACACCTTTTAGACTTCAGTATAAGTTCCATCTCGAGTGAGTAGGACCTTGTCTCTGCGGTCTCTGTGTTTGCTGACTTTACTCTTCCACAGAGCAGCTCTAGCAGGTAATAAAACTACCCACAAACAAACAAGCCCAACATCTGACATGTTTAGACTTTCAGATTTATCTGAAGTGTTTCCTGTGCTTTACTGGGAGACTTTTAAGAGCAAGTCACCCCCAAATAAACTTTTTTTTGCTGATAAACTAAATAAACGAGTGTCTAATCGTGCTGCAGACACATGTCGTCAATAATTTGGCACTTCAGTGCATCTTAGTTAAAATTTAAATATTCTGCCTAAAACTGTCAGTGTTGTGCCGTTGTCAGGTAAAAACTCTGCACTGTATTTTAATTTAAATCTGCCACCGCTATTGGCTAAGAAGTATGCTATGATGTAAACTGGTACATTATGATGTCACAATGCTGTCGTGAGCCTGAGTGTGTGTGTATTTGTTAGCGGCTCCGCCCTCTCGGTCTGCCAGGCAACAGCATGTGTTGCATTTTTCAAACATGAAGTGGGAGTTGAGTTAGACTCTGGTAGGGGGTGACTTGCTCTTTAACATCCCTCAAGGTAAACTGGTTTTATCATTTATATAAAATACACCTGCTGGGAAAAAAACAAAATAAACAACAACCCTTTAAGCAGGTCAGATTACAGATAAACAGTCAAGATAAAACTCATTTGAATCTGAAATATGAGTTATAAACATACATTTCTATAACTAGACTAGAGCTGCAGCTATCGAATATTTTTGTAATCGAGTACTCTATCAAATCTTTTATCGATGAATCGAGTACTCTAATAAATTATATTATTATTTTGTGTTTGTAAACCATTATATCAAATAGCATGTTATAAAATATGAAAGACCTCTTAAAATGAGCACGTAATTGCCAGTTATTCTTCAAGTTTTATTCAAAATTAGTTTTCAAAACTTCAGCACTTCAGCTTTACTTCACAGTAAACAAATGCCTATGCAAAAAATAAGTACACAACCTGAGCCGATTTTCCCCTCGTGTGAGAATCTACCAGCCTGCAAGCCAGACAAAAACTAGGAGGATAACTGTTGAAGTAGCACAGCGAGCTGCAGCGGCCCAAACAGCACCAGAACCGCCCAAGGCGCATGCGCAAACATGGCTCGCCAGCTATTTCCCTATTAACACACGTCCGTTTTAATTTCTACTTTTTTTTTCCTCACACAATAACAAGGATTGTCGAGAAAGCATGTTTGCCGTGGTTATGTTAAATTACACTGATCACAAAACATTTATTTACTTTCTTTCGTTTTCCTCCGCGACTCATAAATACCTGTGTCCTCCTGCAGCAATCCCGAGGGACAACAGACAGCTATAACAACACAATAAAAAGTCTGACGTGTTGTGTAAAAACTGCTATTTTTAGCACATTTTTAGGTCCGACGTGTTGCTACCAGACGCACAGTGTGAGCTGAAACTGAGTGCTACAAACGAAAAAGTCGCACAGTGTCCGCAGAATATATCCGAGTCCGCTTACAGAAGTGACATTTACATGTGGCTGTTTCCTGGTCAGGTGCTGCAGCATCGAGGATGTGGTGTTGTGGTAGGCTAAATCCATTTTACAGTACTTACACTGGACTATGTTTTCCGCCTTATAACGTGAAAAATGGTCCCACACCTTTGACATTTTCTGTCTTGTTCGCACTCCACCGGGGTCCACGTTGTCCGCCATGGCTTAAGAGAAAGTTAAGTTACATTCGCTACTCGCGTGTGCAATCAGTGCTGTGTGTGCATCACTTATTTCGGTCCGGGTGAAACTTTTCCCAGAACTGCTCTGCTCTGGGCGGCTGCATGTTGGGAGTAGCTCTGTTGACTATATGTAAGTTTTGCCCTTTCTTGGGCATTTTTTTTCTTCTAGTTTCTCAAGAGAAACTGTATTGTTTTGGACACTTTACTTTTCTGTTTCTGGTGCTGTGAAGCTTGGAGCATTTTTACTGCTATTTCTTAGCTTTTTTCACTTTTTGAGCATTTGTTATGATGCGTAACCATGGCAACAAACTGGTTTACAAACGGGAGCAGCTGATTAACATTGGAAAGGCTGAAATAATACCTCAACTGAAGCCACAAATCCCAAAATAGCTAAAACACAAGAAGCGTGGATGCAGAGCGGGAGCAAAACGGAGACAGAGAAAGAGGAAATTCAAACCATCTCTTCCATCGATCATAATGGGCAATGTGAGATCACTGGCCAACAAGATGGATGAACTCTAAGCCCTTTCAAGGACTCAGCCAGAGATTCGGAACCGCTGCAAAGAAGGATTTTCCAGAGAATCAAGAAAATGATGGACAACCCTGAGCATTCTCTTCACAAGACTGTCCGACAACAGAAGAGTGTCTTCAGTCAGAGGCTTCTTCAGTTTTGCTGCAACACTGACCGCTACTGGAGATCCTTCCTGCCAACAGCCATTGTAATATAAAATAACGCTTTGATGACTTCATTATTATTATTATTCTGAGCTACTACAGCAATCAATTTCCCTCTGGGATTAATAAAGTATTTTTGAATTTGAATTGAATTGAATTGAATGACCCCGGGCGATTGCTAAGCCATGAATTAAACGAAGCCTCGAGGCAGAGAATTTGACTCGAGGCTTTTTTGTACTCGAATTATTCGAGGTACTCGAGGAATCGTTTCAGACCTAATATATATATATGTGTATGTATGTATGTATGTATATATATATATATTTATTTATTATATATATGTGTGTGTGTATGTATACACACATATATATGTATACATACATACACACATACACACACATATGTATATATATATACATATATGTGAGTAAGTATGTATGTATACATATATATATGTATACATACAC